GGTCAGTCCTCAATTCTGCTGGGCGTCCTCTGTCTGTCACCCCCTTCCCCCAGGGCCAGAGCTGCGAGGGGAGGGGATGCGGCAAGGCCAGAAGCCCTGTGAGGAGCAGTGGCTGAGCTGGGGTCCCAGCCCAGTGGACACCCCTGGGTGGTGAAAATGGATGGATACAGCTTAGAGCACCCCCTAGAGAGGCAGCCCCCAGACTGTCTGCAGGAGAGCAGGCCCTCCCCCATCCCTCCAACTCCATGAGCTGCTTCTAAACCCTGCTCCCTCCACAGCCCTTCACCAAGCCCTTCTCCCTTCCAAGTCCAGTTCGGGGTTAATACTGGCAGCTAATGTGGCAAATACTGATTAAGCGCTTACTATGTATCTAATGCGGAGTTACATTCTTCAACCTAATTATCAAAACAGCTTTGCGGGGTCGCTATAATTTGTTCCATTTTACAGATGAAGAAATCAAGCATCAGAGGGGCCTAGTGATTTGCTTAAGGTCACATAGCTCGTGTTTGGCAGAGGTTGGATGCAACCCCACTGCAGTCCAATTTCTCAATAGAACCTCCCCTCCTCCACCTCCAAGGCCTCTGCTCTCGGTTTCCATGGTTTCCAAGGTGTGTTTATTTTGTTCTTTCTGATTCTGGATCAGCCCTCTTCCCCAACCCACAGCTCCCCACACCCTAATCTTATGCCTTGGAAACCTCCGGCTCCCACTCCCCTTCCTCAGGAGAGTGCTGTTCAGATACGCAGGCCTGACGGGCTTCACGTCCTAGGCCCATAGTCTGACCCAGGGGTGGGCAAACTTTTTGACTCGAGGGCCACAATGGGTTCTTAAACTGGACCGGAGGGCCGGAACAAAAGCATGGATGGAGTGTTTGTGTGAACTAATATAAATTCAAAGTAAACATCATTACATAAAAGGGTATGGTCTTTTTTTTTTTTTAGTTTTATTCATTTCAAACGGGCCGGATCAGGCCCGCGGGCCGTAGTTTGCCCACGGCTGGCTCTGACCCAAACCCCTTGCATCCTGCCTTAGCCATTTGGCGTTCCTGGCGCAGGAGACACAGCCGCACTCGGGTCCCAGCTGGCCTCCCTGCAGCTCTGGCTGCCCTGTGGACCCCTCCTTCCCTTTCCCAGCACAGTCTGTGGCGGTGGAAACCTCCGAATTAACCAATAAATCAGTTTCAGTGGTTGCAGAGCCAACCACTTCCCTCCCTCCCTCACCGCTTGCCAATAAGCTTGATCAGCTCCGGCTGGGGCTTGAGACCTTCCGGCCTCTGTGTCTCCCCAGCACACCTTCTGGCTGCTGGGTACTCTGGGAGGGCCCCTCCCTGACCATAGGCAGCTGTTGAGTCCTGGTCACTGCCTGCCACCTGCCACAGGCCCAGGGGTCAGAGTGGCAGTCACCCTTCACGGGGGGAGGCAAAGACCCAGCTGGGGGAGCAGCTGCTGCAACGGCCGGGCACTGGGCCTGCCACCTGGTCCCGTGCTCTTCCTCCCACGTCTCTGCCGAGGTTTCCACAGCCTCAGGCCACAGCATGGCCCGTGTCTCCCTGTGGCCTCCACGGGCTCATCGGGCCTTGTGCCAGCCCGAGCAGGCGAGGAACATTACCTCCATCCTCAGAAGCAAATGCCGAGGCTCGAGAAGGTGAGGTAGCTTGACCAGAGCCAAGTAGCAAATTTGGGGCCGCGGGGATGGCTCTCACGGCAGCCAGGCAGCAGCAGGGAAACATCTGCACGCATCTGACAGTTCGCTGCTCGGCGATGGTGAGTTCCTGCAAAGGAAAGAAGGGAGGAACCTCCCAGCTGGGCTGCTGATCCACACCCACCTCTCAGGCACGGACAGATGACCCACTGGGAACGGCTCCATCTAGGACGGGCAGGCGACAAGCTCTCCCAGCCGGAGAGCCACAGGGTCAGAGTCTGAACCTGCATAAAACCCCAGGCCCCGGGGAGGGGTTGCTCAGTGGAAACCCTCCACAGTGGCCTGGTCTCTCCTCAACTGTCAGGCAGCCAGGCCTCTGGCTGGACTTTGAGGCCTCCTACATTTAAAAAAAATTTAATTGATATTTAGAGAGAGGAAGGCAGGGAAAGAGAGGGACTGCCCAAGTCTGCCCTCCTCTGTTTCCCTCTAACAGAGAGAGGGAAACATTGATGTGGGAGAGAAACATGCCCCCACCGGGATGGAACCCGTAACCTGGGTATGTGCCCTGACTAGGAATCCAACTAACTGAGCCACCCAGCCAGGGCAAGGCCTCCTGCTTCCGAAGTAGGTCTCTTTGGCCCCTGGAGCCAAATAACGAAGCCAGAGGTCCTGATTCATGGAGGGCAGCGCAGCCTGGCCCAGTGCGGGCACACACAGATATTTGATACACGAGGTCAGGGATGCCAGGGAAAGAAAGACATGGCCTGTCCCTCCTTCCTTTATCCCCCAAACATGTGAGTGCCTGCCCTAAGCTAGGCCTTTTGGGGAAGACAGGGATGGCATGAGTTTGACCTGGTCTCTCCCTTCCAGGCGCCAAAAACCCAAAGAAGGAAGGACAGCACCGTGGGAGGGGCTGTAAGAGGGCACAGACAGTCTGGACAGGCACAGAGGCCATCCCGCCTTCCCGGGCAATCCAAGCAGGAGTCCCAGGGAAGGTGGCAATTAATATGTGGAGGGCTGGCACGGCCATGGCATACCCATGCCAGCTCAGCCTGGTTCAGTGACCCTGAGTGGGGGCGATGAAAGGCTTAGAAAAGACAGACAAGAGAATGAAAGCTGGGTCTCGGTGGGACGATGCTCCTCTGATGGACAGCGCCCATGCCCACAAGCCGTGTCTTTACTTTTTTATTTTTTTAAATATATTTTATTGATTTTTTTTACAGAGAGGAAGAGAGAGGGATAGAGAGTTAGAAACATCAGTGAGAGAGAAACATCAATCAGCTGCCTCCTGCACACCCCCTACTGGGGATGTGCCCGCAACCAAGGTACATGCCCTTGACCGGAATCGAACCTGGGACACTTCAGTCTGCAGGCCGACGCTCTATCCACTGAGCCAAACTGGTTAGGGCTCGTGTCTTTATTTTATAGCAGATGCCACGAGACAAAGTAAGGGCGTGATCAAGTTGTTTACAACATTCTTGTGGGTTTCAATCCTACTCAACCACACGCACCTGAACTCTATCATCAGGCACGTGGGGCCACGTGTTTGGACCACAGGTTCAAGCTTACAGCTACAGCTGTTGGCTATAATTGTGCTGGGAAGGCTCTGCCCTCCAAGCTGGGACTTGCACATGGCAATGAGAGGACTGTGCCCTCTCCTCAGTCCAAGGCTTGAACCTGTCCAAACACTGTAGCGGCGCCCCACAATAATATGCACTTTTCTGGAAAAAGGTGGGAAGGGCCTGCAAGGTGGAGTGACAGCCTGTGCCAGGGCAGAGTGCAGGTAGGAGCAATAAGCGGGCCTGTGCCACTGAAGCCAGGCGGGTGGGGTCCAGGGAGGCCGGGAGGCGGGTGCAGTGAGATCAGGAGGGCCTCCCAGGCCAGCTGGCGCACAGGAACTTTCTCCAGGCAGGTGGTGTCACCATTGCAGGTTTCAGGAGGGGCGGGACCCCATCAGACATGTGGTCAGAGAGCCCCAGGGTCACAGTGTAGGGGCTGGCTGTCCAGAGGCTGCCCTGTGAGCCCTTAGCCAGGAAAGCTGCCGCCAAGGACCTGGCCGGGGCTGGGAAATGAGCTTTGCTATGGCTTTGGCAGGACGATTGATGGCCTGCTGCTGGGCTCGGGCTCGGCCCCAGAGGCACCCGCGTCTGCGTCAGGGGGCTAATGAAATGCTTGGAAGAGCAGATGGCCTTGATACAGCAGGTGCTTGAATAACGTCATTTCGTTCAATGTCGTTGCGTTATAACATTGAGGAGATGCCATGGGAACTTAACGCCAGTTTATATCAATTAGCCTGTAATAAAACTGGTTTTGTTAGATGTCATTCTGCTTAAAGTCACGGAACCTATGGACGATGTTAAGTGAGAAGTTACTGAACTTTGGTTAGGAGAACGCGGTGAGTCCTGCAGGGCCCGAGGCAGGCAGCAGGGGCTGGAGGAGAGGCTGGGTGAGCCCTGGCTGCTGCCCCAGGGCCCAGGAGAAGCCACCTGCAAGGTCTCAGCCTGGGCCTGGGGCGGCATGGGGGCC